TGCTGTATTCCTTCCTGTAGAGTGAGTGGATGTGGATGTGTGATTTTATAAAAACAAATGAGGCCCATTTCTGCCTTTAATGTTTCTGGCCCATTTCCCCTCTTCTGTTATTCTGATGGTCCCTTTGACTCTATGTTTTTCATTTTTACTGCTGCTAAGTTGCACTTTGACTATTCTTTGAGGACAATAAAAATTGCTTAAGCAGAAATGAAAGCTGGTACACATTAAATCTTCAAAATTAAAGGTAAAATGATTTACCTTATAAACACTAACTAGAGAAGGCAAGGTTATTTGGATTGCATGAAATCAAATTCACAGATTTTTTTTCTTAAAGAAAATATGTGTCATGTGAAAAAATTGTGCATGTGTGTGTGTGTGTGTGTGTGTGTGTGTGTGTGTGTTACCAAAGCCATCATGGCAAACACTAGGCTATAGCTTATTTAAAGGTGATGGTCTTGCCTCTTTCATCTTTGAGTCTAGAATTTACCAGGATTTTTCAGGCACTCAAAATAGTGAGGGAATGAAGTTTTCTGGGTTTAAAGTATATTTGGGAGCCTGTAAGCATCTTCTCAGTGTCATCTGATAATTACAAGTCTGGCTATTTGCAACACACACTTCTCATTACTTTGCTTTGTTCCGTGCCTTTCATGTTTTGTTTTCCTTTTGAACCTACCAGGTAAAGCTTATGAGAAACAGAATCTGGGAAACCATTTTTAATTCTATCATCAAAGGGTGACATAGTGAGATCTTGAACCCTAAGCAGCAGAAGTTGAAGGATGGAAAAACGTTCAACCTTTTAAGTTATGCTGCCCAAGCCGCACATTGGAGTTTGAGCTCTGGTCCAACATAAACAAGACAGGAAGGGAGTAGCGCAGAAGCCTGCCGCCCTTCATCGGAGTCTGCCATCTGACGGGGGTGTTAACAAGGCGAGCGCACACACCTTGAAAAGGGGTTTGACTGTACCCAGGCCAGCTGACCCTGCAAAGTGTTTGCTAGAGACTGGACCTATCCTCCTACTTTTTTCAGATGGCTCATTTCCTCCACTGTGTGTTAAAGCAAGGCATAAATCAAATGGGGGCACTGGGGCAAATGAGGAGAGGAGTTAAGTAACTGGATGATGTTTTTCCTACTGTGATTATATTCTATGGAATATGTATTTAAATCTATTCCATGCCCCTCAGCTGTGTGTTATGTACACGTTAATATGGACATGTCATATATATGTACCTGTATGTAGAGGCCAGAGAAGTAGGTAGATGGTGGGAATTTGTTTTTTTTTTTTGCTCTCCACGTTCATTTTTGAGGCAGTGTCTTACACTGAACCCAACACTCATTTTCCAGTCTGACTTTCAGGTCAATGAGCTTCCGGGGTCCACCTCTGTCTCCATTCTCCTCTTCCATGCTCAGCTTGCAAGAAAGTATCAACATGTTTGGCAGTTTACATCTAGATCTGAACTCAGGTATGCACAACAGGTTGCTCTATTTACTTTTTGAAACAAGGTCTCACACAGTCAGGTCAACCCCAAGCTAGCCTTGAACTAACTATGTAGCTGAAGATGATCTTGAACTTCTGATCCTCCTGTGTCTTCCTCCTAAGTGCTGGGATTGCAGGCATAGACCTTTGTACCCAGTTCTACTCTGATGCTGTGGCTGGAATTCAGGGCTTTGTAATCAGCAGCTAGGTACTCCACTAAGTGAGTGATGGCTCCAGGTCTTCACAAGGGGCTTCTGCTGAGTTCTTCCTACGCAGTTATCACCAGGTGGAGAGATGAACAATATCAACTGGAGTCATCTTATAAAGGGGGACAATTCTGGAACTGGTGGGGTGTGAAAACACAAGTCCTGGCAGTATGCAGGGAAAAATTAAGCAGAATACACGAGGTTGCTCTGAAGGTGGGAACTCTTTCTTTTCTTTGTTGCTTAACTCTGGCTTCATTCATTCAACACTTCTTACATAACCCAATAAAGACAGTGAAGGTTCCTATTCTCAGAGGGGCAGCAACATACAAAGCCCATAGCAAGTAAGTAACCATCAGAGACAATTATGCCCTGTGTGCTAATTAAAGGAGAGGGTGACTGGGTGACTGCTTTAGATCGGATGGCTGGGGAAGGGGATAGCATTAAGTTGAGATTGGACAGGCAAGAAGAGACTCATTTTTATTACATTCCAAGTGTAGACCATTCCAGGAAAAGGAACAACTTACACTTCAGTGTGTGTCTAGGAGTGTGGGAGACCCATGAGGAGTTTCCTAACACAGAAAATTGATAAGAGGGACACTGGCCACTATTTCTTCTGCTGCTCACACACACCATCTCTAGTTCCTGTATATGCAGCAAAGGGAGAGACAGATATTTTAAGAAGTGTTGGCTCTTACAAAGACATAGCTTCAGTTACTGAGCCTTAAAACTCTGGCTACCTTCCTGTTGTAGTCTCATTCTGCTTCTGGGACAAACACCATGGCCAGAAATAACTTAGGAGAACAGGTTTGTCTTAGCTTACAGGTCAGTACTGGAACTCAAGCAGGGACACGAAGCAGAAATGGCAGAAAAAGCAGCTGGCTCGCTGGCTCTCTCAGGTTCATGCTTACCTGTAGCTTTCTTCTATAGAAAGTACTACTTGCCCAGGGAATGGTACCACCTACAGTGGGCTAGACCCTCCTATATCAATTAGAAATCAAGGTAATCCCTCACAGACATCTTGATAGGCCAATGCAATCCAGGCCATTCCTCTCTAGGCTATGTCAGGTTGACCGAGCCAATGGTATAAGTCCCTCCCTTGAGACAAGATTTTCAGAAGCAGTAGGGTATCTAAGGGAAGGTGTAGGTAAAAAGCGAAGACAGAAGCAAGCACAGTGAATATAATTACACAGAAAGACTGATTCAACCAGAATTCATTTTACTTCAACACTGGAAACACTAATCCTATTTTTTTCTAACTCAGAGACTAGAGGAAGAGCGTGAACAAAGAGAGCTGTTAACATGGGAACAAATCTTTTCAACCATTTCACTATCAAAAGGGCACAGATGGTTAAGGCCGTATGCATGTGTTTGACACCCCAGGGGAAAGTAAGAATTTTTACCTGCTGACCTGCTTGTTTCTGGGTGTAAGAGTCACCCTTCACCAACTTCCCCATTGATGTCTCATTTTGTAGGCTGTGTACATGCAGATCGTAGCTCCTGTCCACAAGGCAGAAGAGGGAGACAGAAGAGGGGAGAGACAGGCAAAGCGTGCCAACCGATCATTGCTATTTCTGCATGGTTTAGTTGAATCCAGGAGGTAAGTACAAGGACAAACATGAACACACTTTTCTAGAAGCCCTGTCAATCACCCACTGAATTTGCCGGTTACAAAGTTCCCTCCCAGGTTTCTTCCTAGGGATCCTGGGAAGAACCACACCTTTGGAGGCCAACTTTATGAAATACAGAGAACCCACAATTTTCACTGTGAGCTGTACATTTCCTTTGAGTCTCCAGGTATCGTTTGTGGAGAAAAGACCTAGCAATAGACTTATTTGGTGTAAAGACAGAATAAAACAGTCACTAAGTTGGGTTTATGGTCTTTTCTTCCTGCTTTCCTCTGAAAAGAGGCAATTTAAGCAAATTATGTCATCACCTTTGAAACTTGTTCTCAAGGTCCTTAGCCTTTTAATAACCACAGAATTATGTTTTTGTTTTTGTTGACAAGGCACCATCATACACACAAGCACAGTGATACAGCTGAAAGCTGAGAAGCTGTTGAAATGCCTGAGATAAGGAGGACTATAAATGCCAGTTAACAGATCCTCATGTTTACTCTCCTGTGATTTATGCTGAATGTATGATGGCTCTTAGAAGAGAAACACTTCGCCGGATCTAGAGCACAGTCAAGACCTACTCATTAAACACATCTGCCCTTCCCCAGAGACCCAGTCCCTGTTTCAGTAAAAGCACGGCAAATACATAATTAAAATGCAAACCTGAAACAAGTCAGTAGTAGCAATTAATTTTATGGCGGGTGCTATAAGAATGTGAATCTTTTTTATGGATGCCCTTCTTTTTTTTTGAAGCTTGCTTTATTTTCTCAATGAGAACACAGGTCTTTCGTAGTGCTATACATAAACACAGGAGCCAAAACAATGCAAAATGACCTACTGGCTAGCAACGGTAGCCTTATAAGACTGACCAGGAGTTTCTTTCTATAAAACGGCCTCCCAGTTTGTTAAGTTCTTAGAGTTGGCTTGTTTTGGGCTGAGGTCCATGATCTCCCTTGGCAATCAATGAAATGGTGCATAAATGTAAGGCATCATTCAGGTTTGAGTTTCTAATCAAGTCTAACCCTGCTAACACACGAGCTGACCATAGGTTGAAGAATCTAAGTATGTCACTACGAAGGAATCAAAGAACTCCTAAGACATCAGACACCATAGGGAATCCAGAGCATTTCCTAGATGGAACATCTTCATTCCCACGGCAATGTGAACCAGTAGAAAGTGTATACATTTCAGCCAGCCTATGTCAGGGACAAATTAGGCACTGTTCTGCTGTGACAGAGAACCTGTGACCCCCCCCCCCCCCGCCTCTGTCTCACTGTAATAGCCCTATTCATGACAATGCTTTCCCACACGGTGCCAATGGAGACAGCACACGGAAGACTTATTATCCTGAGAAAATAATAGAAATCAAATGTGAATGGTGGAAATATGGAGTCCATGGACTTCCAAAGGCAAGGAGGTTGAGTTGCCATGGATACTCCTCCAAGTGACAAGTGGCCAGTTATAGCTTCTAGCAAAGAGGAGACTTAACCATGATCCATCTTTACCTCCTTTATTTTAAACATCCTTTGTAGTTTTGAAGGACCTCACTCAGCAGCCAGGTCACCTCAGTCAAGGACAGCTTGCCTGCAGAAGGGATGGTGTGCCACAGCCACAGCCACGCAGTCCAAGAGAAAGCGTTTTTTTCCCTAAGCAGAAAGGAAATTGCATAGGAACATGGAAAGAATGAAACCATGCAGAAATACTCACAGTTTGGGTTTGGCACGTAGAGGTGGTGGTTCCTTTGTGGGCGAAAGCAGGGCAGCTGGTGTCGCAGGAGATTTATTGCTGTACGTTTTGCCATTAATCAGCCCGTTGACTCCGTGGCTGGGATGAACGCCATTCGTCTCCCTCTCTGCAGAGCTGAATTGCATTTGAAGGGCTGCCGTGTTAAGTCCTAAGCTGGGGTTGTTCGCCTGCTGGGTTTCAGATGGCTTCTGGGATGCGAACTCATAGGAACCCGTCTCCAAGGTTGGAGGGGGTGGTGGAAAGTGTTGGTTGTGATCACTGCTGGGTTCTTCCACTGGGTCATAGCTGCAGTTCTCAGTGTTAGCTAAAGGAAGGCGAAAACAGAGAGAAACAGTAGGAAGATGCTACCTGTCCAACAAATGAATTTCATAGACTCTGTGGGGATCCCTTGCATGTCATCCAGGAAGAAGTGATCTACTGCTGTCATGGGAGCTCTGCCAGGCGTGTGGCCTTGTTTTGACTGGTGACTATTTGCCTCATTTCCTGACTGAGTTTACCTGTAGGAAAACCAGCTACTGATTCATTAACAAAGTGCGTTAAGAGCTCACGATAGGTAAGGCATCATGAAACACGACATTGCAAAGAATACTAGTCCAAATGCTTTGTCTTCTGACCCCCAGCCCATGCATCCCATTGGGTATCCAACCCATTCTCACTGACAGCATTCAAGTTCAGAAGGTTTTATGATAACAGTCCCTTCTGAAGCTGGGGAAGAGAGATTCTGAGTCCAAGCGGAATTCTCGAAATTCTCATGAGTGCATAGAAAATTTCCATGTCAGATGGGGAAATATGTAGTCTCAACTATAACTTAGTAGGAGACAGACTGAAAAATGTTACTCTCAATAGACTAAAAGTATCTTAGGTCATACCCTTTTTGAGTCATTCACCTTGCTGAGAGCCTGGCAGTCACTTTGGAATGTACCAAGCAAATATGTTTGGCATACAGTAATGAAAAATATTACATTACCACAATATTAATTAATATATTAAACTATTACATTATACAGGTTTTATCACACAAACTTACAGAGTCTAGGTTTTGCTGTTACTGTTTGGAGACTGCTGTGGTCATTTAATAGGGCATTCTTCAAGCTAACTGAAAACTGAAATACTGTGATAATGCCTGCTACGGGACTCCGGTGACAGCACTGTGGTTTCCAGCTGGTGCTTACTGTGTTCGTTCCTTTTCCCCGGAAGGTGGACCTTCCTTCCCTACTTAACTTAATGGACATAAAAAGCCTCGGCAATCCCAGAGCGCTTTTGGTTGTGACTCTGCTGCCACCTAGCCCCCACAGTCTTGCTCTTCTAAAAATCAAGGCCACTGACTAGCCATCCCTGTTCTGGTGCCCTACTGTGTGTCTTACTGTGCATTAGGCTTGCTCAAAGTGACTAGCTTAAAATTTTCTGTAAGACGAGCTCGAAAGATGTGCTAAAGCTCGTCAGTAGAGGACTCCTCTAAGCTTGTGAGCAAAAGTAAAGGTCTGTTTCTTCTTATCGTCCTCCCTGGCTATCTTTTTTTTGAGCCTGGATGTCTGTGTGGTTTTGAACACTGGTTTCAGTAGTGCAATCTTTTATCTTTCGTATCAGAGTTGTTTACTCACATTAATATACACAGAGAGGAAATTTGATTTCTAACATCTTCACTGTTTGCCTACATTTCACTAGCTTGCATTCCTTCTCAGATGTTCCAGTCATGGCTTACGGAGTGACACATTTGGACAGGTTTCTGCAGGTTCTCTGCACTCCTGAGGACTGTGACCGCACCTCTGACTTTAAGGTGGCACTCTGAGGCGAGGAATCCTAGCTTAGCATGAAGATTACCAGCTCCATTGTTTTGGAGACCAAGATTGCATGATTCTGAAAAAACTGGCCGCATGAGCAAGTGCTAGTTACGGCGTTTGTCATCTCTGCCTCCGCCTCCACAGCTCTGTGCTTCCCCCAAAGCCTTTTGTTCGAGATGAGGCATCCCATTGTTAGGAGAGCTCTTGGAGTGGCCATGAACATTCCTAAGAACTGAGCTTTGCTCCTGGGATAGCTGCTGCCTGTCTTGGGGGACTGCATAAGGACCTGGTAGGAGGACCCAGTTGCTTTTGATTGCCACATACCTGAGGTGATAACAAGTTGTGCGGTGCTGGTCACTGATCCGTAGTCATTTCTGGCTGAGCAGGTAAAGATGCCTGCATCTTCAGGAAAACTCTCAGCAATGACAAGGGTGCAGATCTCCTCTGGAAGCAAAATGACCAAGACAATCTGTCAGAGGGAAACTGTCAGAGAAGTCACCAATGCAGAGGTGCCAGTCTGTCTCAAACATATCTTTCAGCCCTGCGGTGGTGGCATATACCTTTATTAGCAGCACTTGGGAGGCAGAGGCAGGCAGATCTCTGTGAGTTTGAGGTCTCAAAAGTGATTTCCAGGACAGCCAGTACTATTTTTTTTTGTGTGCATACCTTTAATCTTAGCACTCAGGAGGCAGAGCCAGGCAGATGTCTGGGTTTGAGGCCAAGTTGGTCTACAGAGCAAGTGACAGCCAGTACTATTACACAGAGAAACCTTATCTCCAAAACAAACAAAACAAAACAAAACAAAACAAAAAATCCCTACCCCAAACCAAACCAAAAACACTGGGGGTGGGGGATGTATTGAATATGATCAAAGTGTTACCTCACAAGAATTCTTTTTGTTTATTGAAATAATCTTATACACACAATACACACACGCGCGCACACACACACACACACACACACACACACACACACACGCACGCACGCACTTAGAGCAGTAACTACAACGATAAACAAATTAAAACAAGGTGAAAAGTGCAATCTCTTTTTATTATCTGGTTCTCTCCTATCCAGTGCCCCTTAATATCTCCAGAAGCAAACAAAGAATTTATTGCATTTAACTCTACATAAAAATTACACCAGCTTTTAAAACATTTATAGATATTACCAACGCACATTGCTTTGAGGTACCGTTACAGGACTGAATATGCGTCTCCTTTTAAAAAACGTTATCGAGTGCCAAGTCTGCGGGCCTCTGTGAGCATTAGAGCAATCAATCCTCCATCCCTCCCCTTTGTTCTTGAACCTTGTGCCTTCCCCATTCCGGATGATCTCTGATGATGCTAATGACAGTTTGCTAACAGACGGCTGGACATTTCCCTTAAAGCTGGAAATGCACGATTCCTTATGTCAAAATGCTCTGTTCCTAGGCAGAGATCTGGGGACCACTGTGATTACAAGCTGTTGAGATTACAGCTATAGGCATAGCTCAAGGCCAACGCATAGCTACCACACTGGTGCGTGCTTAAGAGCCCAAGCTACTAAGTCACACAACTTATTCTTTTAGCCAAGTATTCAGTTTGATGCCAGAACGGGGTATGCCAAACCCGATTCATTGTACAAGACAAATTGAATCAGGGACAGTGCTGAATTAAGGCAGTACAGAACTGACATGGTTTGGTTAAATGTTGAGGAAAGTGACAGGACGAACATCACAATCTTCCATTTACATCGTATGTAAACAGGCCAAATTCTTCCTGCTGGCGTTTAGCAGGGTGGCTGGGGGGCGTGGCCAGGAGATGGAAAGCTGCTGTTTAGAGTGGATAAAGTTGCATGCATGTCAGGGAGGAGGAGCCGAAGGATCTGCTGTGCAGGGCTGTGTGACAATGGCACACTGCGCCCTTAAAACTTCGAAAGCACACTTCCTGTCATGCGCTTCTTTCTTTTGCTTCAGCAAAGATGACTAAAGGAGCAGGTAGGGCCTGGAGAACTGGCTGGGTAGTTAGGAGCGCTTGCGTCTCTTCTGGGTTCCAGGTTCCGGTCCCAGCACCCACAAAGTGGCTCACAGTCCGTACTCTAGCTTCAGGGGATCCAGCGCCCCCTTTTGGCCTCTGTGAACACCAGGGACACACATGGTATATTTGCAGACAGAAGAGCAGGGACTGTCCACTGTTTATTTAAACACCAAGCTAGGCAAACGCTCGAGAGTTCTCCAAATTATAACGAGATTCCTGAAATAAAGGTGTTGCTCAGGTCGTCTCTGTTTTTTCAAGAATAAGAACAAATGAGCTGTGTTTCTAGCCAGAGGGAAGAAGATACATTAAAGGAACCAATGGCCTGACTACCGAAAGGTTATAAAGAAAGACTTCTGAGAGAAAGCCTGGACCGCTTCCCATGCCAGATGTTCAGATCCACCCAGCTATTTGATGAGGGTGCTAAGGAGGGTGCTACCTTAATATTCTACAGCTGCAGGTATGAGATGGTGATGCAGGGTTTTCAGCCTCAAGTTATTTGTCACTTTTGGGGTGTGGGGGGAGATGGGGTAGCATGGAAGGAAGGACTCGAATTAGAAAATCTCTGGGTGGATCCCAGCTCTAGAGTCTAGAGGCCCAATGGCCACATGGCGCGAGGGTATGCCCAGCCTCACTCCTCCCTTCCTTTAACATTGCACCTCCTTTAAAGGCAGGCAAGTCAGTTGCAAGTGGGAAGACTTACCAGAAAGCTCCAGTTTGCTACATGAAACTATTTACTTAAATATAAGATAGAATTAGGAAAGAACTAAAAAAATTTTTTAGTTAATTTAATAAATGAAAGAGAGAAAGAAGAAAATATACTTTTGTGTTTCTATTTGTTTCAGACTTCTAGAGGACTCAAAATGCAGGCTGACTATGTAATATCTTTTAAATCTGGCCAAATGTTGCATACTCTCTAATTATTCTATAACCATAAAGACAAGATCTTTTTTGTTCCTTTATGCACATTTTTTCCTTAGTAGCTCTACAATCCTTCCAACTTAGTCTATACAAACAAAACTAAACTATGTTTCCTGAATTATTTTCCTTTTTCTTTTTATTAAGATCTCTCCGTGTGTTTAAAAATTGTGATTTTATATTTGGGGGCACTTGTGTAATCTCAGTGCTTGGGCGGTGAGGCAGGAGGAACAGGAGTTCAAGGCCAGTCTTGACCTGTGCAAAACTAGCAGGGGTCAGACGAGACCCGGCCTCACAACAAAAATCAATTAAACAAAGACTCTCCAAACCGTTCCATCACTCTTCAGTAAACAAAAAAAATACTTTCTGAAGACATAAAACATGTACATGATAAAAATTGTATATAAATACATGGTATAACACTTGAAAGGTACAAATGGGTGTTTAACTTTCTGCTTCTTAAATAATTATAGTAAAATTTTTATGAGAGCTTAACTTAAATTCAAGGCAGAGACTTAAACATATACATTTCAGTTTATACCTATACATTTTGCTTCTAACAGAGACATATAGGCACATATAATAAAAGTCTAATTATTGTGATATACATAGGTTTTGTCCACTATGTGTGAAAAGTACAGTAACCTCACAAGAACTGAATGATAGTTATTTAAGTCAAAGGATAGTTTGAGTTTTCATAATGAAATGATGGCATCACTAGAATTTCTTGGGTCACAAATAATGAAAAATACTGGCTATTGAAAATCACAACCTGAGCTGTTCTTTGCAAAGACATGAAAACAAATTTTGGGACAATAGAGCATAATCACACAGAATTGCGTTGGAGCAGGAGGGTCTGAGGATGGCAGCCTTGGCCCGCACCTGACTCTGACTTGAGAAGTCCTTCCAGGTCTCATCAATGAGTAACGAGTTGTAGTTTTTACACTTTATAATCAAAACAGTCCTTTAAAAGACATACTTGTAATACTAGTGTGAAGATGGGTTTCAACGGATAGCACTCTACACAACTGTCTCTTGTTCTTAGTGTTTCCCTAAGAGAAAGACAAAGCCTGTTGAGTTCAGTGTTAGCTGGGTATTTGCTTCCAGTTGCTGTAGCAATGACAATAGCAAAAGGCAAAACAAACAAGCAAACAACAAAACACAGAAAAATTAAACTTAGGCTGCATGCTAATTCCACAACAAATGTCAATAGAAACGACAAACAAACCACAGCTCATGAAGCAGGCAGCTGCGAGGCTATGGGCAGATATGAATCCAGACTCAGCTTCCTGTCTTGAGTGGAAAAGGTCTCCCCTATCTCAAGATGTACCATGGGAACTGGGCAAACACTATAAATGATGAGTGTGAAGCTATGGTGTGTGATTTACATTTAAGTTACTTTGGCATTTTTTAAATTGGTGACTACTTACAGAGGGGAAGAAACTACGGACTAGAAAAACGAATTGGCCACGTGGTTTCGTGTTCTTCATTTGACCGTTGATAGATGCTTAGGATCCTTTGTCATTATCCACATTTGTGCAAGTCTAAGACTAGAGTGCCTGTGCTCCTCGGTAAGAGTGGTGATATTTCTGAGCGTTTTGTTTATGAGACTGACTGCAGAGGAGCCTTTCCTTTTGGATCCTGACTCTTTTTACAGCATCGCTTGCCAGAGCTAGCTGTCTGTGATGAGAATCACCTGCAGCATGGCCGGAGGTGCTGACTTCTCAGTCCTTTCTGCTCACCTAGAGCATGGCTAAGCAGTTCTGGCATGGAGCCAAGGGCTTTTTCATGCTTTACAGATGATTTTTGTTTTGAGAAAAGTTCTAAAAAAGTGATTTTCAAACATTTATTAGAATGAACAGGAGAAACACTTTATGTCCAATCTGGTTACATGTATATATTAATGTGTACATGTATGAGCAAGAGCACACACAGGTACACGCACATGCACGTGCATGCACACACACACTCGAGTGCGTGCATGCACACATGTGCACGCACAGTGGTAACAAATGTCACAGAAAACACTAAACAAGCACCCTACTATTTTTTCATTTATCTACATTTTGTCTGAAAAGTTTTGATTTTGTGTGTGTGTGTGTGTGTAACTCATGTGTGGGTGTCAGGGGACAACTTTCTGAAGTCCATGCTCATCTTTCCCCTGCAAGCATCTGAAGATCAAATTCAGGTTACCAGTCCTGTACCCACTGAGCCATCTCATTGCCCACCCCCTTCTTTTCTTTTGTATTTTTAGATCTGGGTTTTCTTTTCTCCTTCCTTCCTTTCTTTTTCTTTTGTTCTTTTGTTTTTTCAAGACAGGGTTTCCCTGTTGTCTTTGGAGCCTGTCCTGGAACTGGCTCTTGTAGACCAGGCTGGTCTCAAACTCACAGAAATCCACCTGCGTCTGCCTCCCGAGTGCTGGTATTAAAGACCCTGCTAGATCTGGGTTTCTCTATGTAACTCAGGCCATGATCCTGCTGCCTCAGCCTTGATAGTTCTGGAATTACAGGTATG